GCGACTTTGCACGCACTCGTAAGACCCCGAACGAGTGTTGCACGAGTATTTTCATGTCGTACGATGATGCGTCCTGTCGTACGAGTCCGTTGTACCACCCTAAGACTATTGGAAGACCTGTCTTGCCCCCTTTGCAACGTTGTACGATTTTTTTTCACCCCCAATATAAGCTCGAGAACTCCTGAGCTTTCATCCCAAATGTCTGGACCATCCATACTGTAAACATGGCTGCTGCTCGACCAATAGCTCCTGGGAGGCTCTTGCATTTGCTAAGTCTGAGAAGGCAAATCCAAAACGTTCAAGACAGACATGTCATATTGAAGAAGAAAGTCGCATCGCGTGTCGTATTTATAGGCCAACACCTCGCGCGACAGGTGGTGTTGTGCGGTGTGTCGCACAATGGGTCGTAGCCTTGTACGATCGGTTGTAGTAGTCGTACAACGGGTCGCTAGGTCGCGCGACATATGGCGCTACAAAACGCATATGTCGTGCGACTTGGTCGCATCATTGTTCAACCGTTGCAGCCGTTGTACGACTGTTGCACCCGGAAACATGAAAATAATCGCACGATTACGTCTCACGACTGTTGTATCCTGGTGCAGTGGTCGTTCACCTCTCGTACGATTTTATATATTGCTGGCGACTCAAAGACAACACTTCTACAACAGGACGGAAACAATATTTTCGAAAAAAAAATTATCGCACGAGTGAGGCGCCAATTGTGAAAGGGGCTTTAGAGAACACAGAAATATGTCATGTAGACCTATGTTTGTGTTTACTAAACATTTATTACACACCGTCAGTGCAGACGAAAGTATCAGAAACAGTCCTATTAAAACAGTGTTACAGTTTTTTTTTGTAATATAAAGCACTAGTAAAGTAAAACAAAAAATGATATTATTGAATACAACGCATATCGATTAGCAGCTGAACAAGTTAAGCAACAAAATGAAGCAAAACTATTTTTTTTAAATATATGCGTTATTTCCATAAAAAAATAGGGGATTAAATTGGCTAGTTGTATGGACCACTTCTCTCGTCAGTCATTTTCTGCCATAAATGGCGCTCTACTCTGAGAAATCGATAATCTTAGTTCATGGCGTATAAAAATAAGCTAAGCATGTGGTTTGTGATGAAATACAACATGTAGTTCAGTATGATGCATATACTGCCTTGTCTTCATAGCTCATTAGTTAACAATAGTTGTACACACGTGCACTAACTATCAGTTCGACTACTCTTGGTCACGTAATTCAGTGTTCTGGTCGTGTGTTCATTGATGAAATCACCACAAGAACGTGGTGGACAAAGCGCCTCATTTTGGGTTACAACCAGTTCACTTGCTCAACGTGTATTATGTTACATACGAAAGATGTATTGTATAGGTTGTCATTTTCACATGCATAATTCAATGCAGACCACTTCCCATTGAGATGGGTTTCCAGAATTGAAATTAACACAAAATAGAAGAATATTTTCATTGCAGGCACTGTGCCCCCGTAACCTGGACACATTCGTACGAATCGAAACTAATTCTTATGTTATTACAAAAAGTTTAATTATAACAGAAATGTTAATTTAGTATCTGACATATTAAAAACATCACCGCCGTATTGTGTTGCATTAAAATTCAAATGACAACTCTGTGCCATCAATGGCTTCATGGTACCATTTATCCATCTTTTCACTCTGTGCTACTGTAAAACTTCCTTTCCACCCACCAACTTTACCTATAACGAGATAGACACGGAATCAAATACATCAATAAATTAGTCAAATCATTGTGATGTAATCACGAACACAATAAATAAATAAAAGTGATCACCTTTCCTCATAAAGGGTGTGTCCTTAGGATCTATTCCTGCAATAACACAAAGGTTGTCACGTGTCTTGTTTTTCTTCATAGCATCAAACGTACATTGCTGTGCCACGGAGTTAATTTGTTCATCAGTCAGACTCTTTCCAAGAAACTTGCAAACCATCCGAACTGTACCTACCAGATCCTAGCAAGAGTTGTACAATAATCAAATTTAAACATTGTTGTTAATAAAAACATTTTACAACAAATTATCTGTGACAATTACTGTTAAAAAAAATGAATATTCAGTTGCTTGACTTCCGGTGATTTTATCCTTGGTCCTGTAAAATTATTATTGTCTGATTTGTTTGTGAACAATGTTGGTGACATTGGGCGTCTTTAGCTAACACTTTCACATACTTAATTGATTTCATGTTTTATAGCTTACAGTTAAACAATATTGCCGGTTCTGACTCAACGTTATAGATAATATGTCGGTTAAATAAGCATTTCATCAAATCTGTTATATTGTCTTTTCTCATTGAAAAATAAAGCTTTAAACGACCATAAAATAAGAGTTTCTTTGCAACGCTCTAGTCGACATAGCTTGAAAACGATCTAAGATCATTCTGGTAAAAAGTGCCATCACCAGTTGGTAGTAGAGTTGATGTCACAGATGATGTGGGCACCATAATTTATCTGATACTGATTATGTCGATGATATACTTTTTTTTCAAGAAATTTATTTTTCAAGTTAATTAAGCAGTTAGATCCTGATGCATCTCCGGGTATTGGTGATATTAGAGTTGAGAGTATTAAATATGGGCCCTCTAGAGTATATGTTTCTATGTCCGTTTGATTTTAAATTGATGATGTTGTTTCGAAAAAAAAAATAACTATAATTCAATTTCCTATATCTAAGATCCAGGTGGGGATATTTGCGAAAAAACCCTGTAACATAAACATAATATAGTTGAACGCGAATGACGATATGTGTAGAAAAAGTTGAACAAGGGTTCTTTCTATGCCTGTTCTATGCTAGAGTTGGTAGAAGTGTAGTCCAACATTTATTTCAACATCTACGCTGCTACAAGACACACCAGAGTTTTATTACCTTCTTCATGTCTTCATATTTTGAAAAGAGTACATTGTCTTCGTCTCTTTTCTTCCACCAGTAAAGTACATGATCTGGCCATTCACCAAAAATAACTAAAAGCAAAAACAAAAAAACGCTGTAATGTTTGATTGTTGGGCATAATTTTATGCAGGTCCAGGGTAGATATAATAGCACAATATTATTCATGTAACAAAGTGTCAAGCAAAGTTAAGGAGTCAAATTTTAGTTTAGTGTTTGAATGTTTATGCCAACTTGTTGCGGTGTAACGAGAATGGTCGCGTGTTACCATATATGTATATGTCCTTTTTTTATTTTGCCAGAATACATACAATCCTAAATGCAAATAAAAGTGAGCGAATCAATTTGTTAATCACTACTAATGTATTTCTCTGATGGTTTGTAGACATTTCCTATATTATACTGTATGTACTGTCGAAATATACTATTTCTTGAAAACATATAAGGCTTTTACTTCGTTTTGCGCAAACATTGCTGGAGTTATACTCGATTCCAAAATAAGCAAACTCCCAAGAAATAAAGTATTTCTGAGATATAAAATGCAGTCAATTCAAATTGAAGTGATGCTCTTTTACAAACTGAAGAAGACTACGCCGATTCTAAAATTGGATATTCGTTGAACCTTTTTAATTCGACTATATACATAATTCCATTGTATCATCACAATACTTACTTTCACCACTCATGAAGTCATTGAGTAAGTCCTGGAATGAGTCAAATGATTTAATATTCGGAAGCGTGTTGCAGTGATGGTAGTTCGACACAGCAACATCCTTGGGATTTCGTGCCACGTACAGAACCTATAAAATGCAGATACCAAATGAACACATTACGTTTACTATAGTCTAGGTCATTTGTTAGAATGATATAAGACATTCGAAAAAAACGAAAAAGGAATTTATGAGAGAATTTATGCTACTATTTTGTCGACTACCTTCGACAAAGTTCGTGATCTTTCCTGAACTTTCCGTTATTATCTATTATATACTATATATCATAAATTCGTGCATATTTTAACATAATAGCTCATGCCAAACACCAAAATAAAAACCCGTATGTTCCAATTCTCACGGCCTAAGTTGAAAAAATAATGAATTAAATGTGTTGAAATATTCTAATAACATTGATCACGGCGTCTCCGCAAATCTGTTTCGAACCCAATATGAACCAAATAATAAATCTTGTTTATAGTGTCTCTTAAAAATATAATATACATTGAGAACAAAATCCGATGTAAGTATAAACCTAAAATTTATATCCTATCGATTTATATATGTGAAAATACTTAACAACGGTGAAACTAAAATTATTTAAAATAAATATACATAAATATTGAATAAATAAAAATGAGAATCATGTGGTACAGCGAAGATACTCAAATTACCTTTGGTTGTTTTTCCAACAACTGTGGTGGCAAAAACTTAGGTAGTAAATGCGTGGCTATTAAGCGTGGTGACGGCGCCTTTGTTAACATTTCATGATTCGGTACAGGTCCAAAGACATGAAAGTCTGGGTATGGTGCCTTATCTAATGGTTCGTCTCCTTTTATGTCGCCGCTAGCAGATAATATTTTCCAAACTATCTCAATTATCCATGCTGTGCCTGTCAAAGACAAAACAAAGCAAAATACGAAATAACAAAATAGTTAATGTAGTCTGAATGAGGTTATGCTAACTGCAAAATGATAAAAATATAGCTTTCTATGAATCGCGCCCGCTACTGACGAAGTGCCTTTCTGACGTTCATTGGTGACACAGAATCATTCAAGGCGTCGTTTTGAATGTTATCGGTAGTTTCGGTAATGGGTTGTTATGTTTATGATTAATATAACTATGTCGTAAGAGACGAATAACTAGAAAACCAAATACAGTTGCCAATTTAAGCGACATTTTCTTTATTCATACACGTCACAGAAGCAGTAGGCGAAGCTGTTCGTGCAAACACCTGTTCGTCTCAGTTTTGGGTGGGAAAAATATAATATTGGTGGGTAGGTGGGCGGCGGTGTTGCGCATTTAGGGCTGGCAAAAAT